TTTTACATTCAATAAATGACTAACGAAACCCATAAAAATTGTCGTTTCCAATTTACACGATTTTACGCGAAACTTAGCTAGCGTGTAAGGCAGTAGTCCGGTATATTGCATTAACGTTTTCTGTACATCTGTTACATGCTTCAGAGCAGTTAAGCTTTTAAGGCGAACTATTGAGCAGGATATTATAAGAAGTACAATTAAAAGTTCGTGGCGTTTTTCCTAATAAATGGCTTTTTCATCTCGCTGCGAACCTAAAGAATGGCAAAGGGGCTTTTAAGCCTTTTCCATAGATTGTGATATAGGACACGGCACACGTCGCCAGATCTACTGTCAACAATTAACGAGATTGAGCGGCACAAGAGGGGCAAAACATGTACAATTGATCAAGGGAAAAGGATTCGTCTTCCATCTTCAATGACTTGGCAAAAATGTTGTGAGCTTAGATGAAACTTGGGGAAAAAGCTTTTCCTTTTGCCTAACATATAAGAATTGGACATTATGTTCTTGTGCATACTTGTGCTTACGTCATTGAGACATACTATACTTAAAGAAGGACGAGTAATAAGTAGCTGGCGGAAGTCATTACTCTCAAACCCTCACTCACTCAGTGATGATTTGTTAATATGATGTTTTGGTTTTTAAGGAGAAAAAAAGAAAAAAATTCATAGAAAAAATTTCCCAATTTGTTATGTGTTATGACAAGAGCTACGATGATGGCTAACGATTATTATAAGGCTGATGATAATGGCGAAGACGAAGACAACGATAAAGAGTTTTTATGGAATATGTTGTATTTTTTTTTATTAAAAAACCAATTTTTTTTTACTTTTGACTTTGGAAGATAAAGTTTATATTGTTGTCGTTATATTGTCGTTATTTTTAGGGTTTTAATTAGCAGTTTGGATTGCATAAAATCACCAGTTGGTGTAAATTGATATCCAGTTTTGGCTTCGTTTCTGTTTCGCTGTAAAATAAAAATTTCTATGAAAGATAAACTGCGCACTACAAACCAACCACCGACTAAAAGAGTTGTTAATTTGTTGATACATGCATGCGGTATGTGCTTTGTATATATGCACGTCTATGCACTTTGGTTATTTTTTGGTAAATAGGAATTTCAAAACTAAAAATAACAGATTTTTTTGTCTTTTTTTTTCTTTCAATACAGTTTGCTTTAGTCGTTTTACAGATTTTCTCAAAGCAAGAAAAAATAATAAAAAAAAAAAGAATATGCGGTCGAGGATGTTATTTTAGAGAAAACCAACTCAAAGCATATATATATTTTTCTTTAACTTTGTACAAAGAACGAAAAAAAAGACATTGAAAATTTATATTCACTGCCACTCAGGACGATTTACGATTCACTTAGGGCGTTTTGCAATTCTTGATTTCACACAAAATTCAGCTAAAGGCAAACGGCCTAAAATTAGGTGATTTTTTTTTGAATTTCCGGTCCATTATCGTAAGAAATTTTCAAAGTTTTTTAGTATACTACGATATGAAGGACACCTAAAAATTATCAACATATATTGGCCTAGTGCTTGAGAGACCGTAGATCATTGAAGATATTAATACAGAGATTCGACCAAGCGACTTGAACCTAAAAAAAATGAACTCCACTAGATCCACATGAACTTGTTGCTTTGTACGCAACTTATGCTAATATAGAGAATTAATATAAGCCCTTAGGGATTGCAGAGTTGAAATAAGTTTCTACAATCCAATCCATATACACTTGTGCCTTGAGACTTACGCAAAACACCCCTAGGCCTAAAAAAAAAAAAAACACTCCACTGAGTCCACATGAAGTGGTTACTTTGTAGGCATCTTACGGCATGATAGAAGACTTAAGCAAACCCCCGCCCTGCCCCAAATATACTTAACATGCAGTATGGATTATATGGGGGAGAGGTACCGCAGATTCGCCTTAACGTGAACGTAATTTTCGTACTTGTTTTATAATTAAATTATGTGTTCAAATTTGTGTTGTTATGTTCTTAAGTCTTGTGTAGTTCTCTTATCACGTTAACCTTAATCTCTTATATTAAAACAAATTAAATTATCAAAAATCCAAAATAGTAAGGAAAAAACAAGCATTCTTATACAGTTGGTATGGTTTTCATATGTAACCGCCTTGTACGCACATACATGCGCGTAAACTTCGTTGCATGTGTTTGTTAATGTACGTTTCGGTATTCACAAGCTGTTTGTAATTTTCATTTTTTGCTATTTGTTTTTTTTTTTTTTTTAAATAATTACAATGATTGACATAAAATTTGTTTAATCATGCATTACCGTAAAAGCAACTAGTTCTCAATTCAGACATGTCAGCTACATATATATATATATATATATATCTATATATATACATGTACATACATATATATGTATGCATGTACGTATGCATGTATGTATGTAAGTATGTGTGCGTTTGTGCGTGCAGTTATGTTCTCATATCAACAAGTGACAAATGCCTACCATTAGCTATAAATTTAATTCCTTTTTTTTTATCCGTTAGCCCCATAAGCTCGCTTAAGTATACTAACATATAATTGCTGCTTCCTTCACTTTAACTCAATCAACTCACCTTAGCCTTGCATTCGAGCAAAGCTAAGTAAAGTCAATTGCAGCAGTTGCAGTTGACCAATTTTTGGTGCATTTTTAAATATTGTATGCGCTGCTCTTATGATTATTTTACGAATATTTTGCTCATGTAAAATTTCAATTGCAATTAATAAAAGTCATGTTGATTATCAATGTTACGTTAAATTGAAAAACAAATAAAAATATTATAGTCGGGCGAAACCGAACTTTAAATACCCTACATCCGCATAACTTAAACAATTCTTTGTAAATATCTCCTAAAAAGGTACCAAAGCTTATTAACTTATCCCTATGTGAAGACATACTTTTCGTGGAACCACTTGTACGAGAGCGGGTCAAAAGCATAGACTAAATGGATCCATATTTTTAGCGAATTTAACTTTCCTTTCAAAGATCTTATTATTCTGCATGCATTCTTTGGCATAAAGTATTTAAAATCAGACTTTGTTGCCTTATAAAAGCTTACGTTTCACTGGATCCTTACATAGTGTGAAGTCTAAAAAATAAATTTAGATGGTCCGAATACACAGCTACCGTTAATATCAAGTTACTATTCTGAATCAGTTTTCATCGTATATGATTGAAAATTCGATTTTTTACGCTACTACAGATTAATTTTCACCGCAAAATATTAAAAAATTAACGCTCTTCGGGAAGAGGATTTATTTATTTATATAGATATTGCAAAGAAGGCCCGCCTCTCGTAAATTCTCGTTAATATTCAACCCCTTTTTGAAAAAACCAAGTGCACGTTTATGGCGCGTCATGCAACGGGCGGCTGACGAAAAAGATTATCGTGATGCTTGTAAAGGGCTACATGAGCAGAATAGTCGAGCCAATCGTAGGTCAGTCGAAAAGAAAATTGAAGTCAATAATGTTGTAACAATAATCTCTTGGCAATCTAGTGATACAAATCTTCTCAAGAAGTACAAAAAGAACATTTTGTGACAATGTTATTGCGATACACACAGATTTGGTTTAAATAGTGTGCGTAAAAAGAATATCTATTTTTAAACATAAATTTTTTCAAAATGTTCGGAAATTGATAAAAGCAATTAAAGCAGCTTGATGTCCCCAACTGTCGGCATCGTGAAATAAAGATGCTTTGCTTTGCTACGCAGCTGATGATTAAGAAAAAGATTAGCACAAAGTATAGTTCGCGTTAAAGTTATTGTACTTTTTCGGGAAATTTAACAGGTAGGAGCTGAACGGGCTTTGTTTCGAAAGATTTATAAGTAAAAAATTTGATTAACACGAAATTTCTATAAATAAAATCTATGCTATTATAAACTCATCATTCTAAGGAAAAAAAAGGAATTTTAGACAAACTGACAGCAACTCTTCGCTGTTGTATTCATACTTAGCAGAGAAAATTCCTGATCAATACAATCTTGATGGGTCGAAGTAGTCATGGCTTTTATTTGTCCGGTTTTGCGGCTATGATCTGCACCGTCTATTGTTGGCTTTTTAGTGCTCTGTTTATCTATCTGTTCAGCAATTTGTTGTTGGAAAATTCATGGCTCATGATATTTGGAATCTTTATCACGACCATTGGAGACTTCGCTTGAAGGACAAGATTGAGCAGATATCGAGCCTTCTTTCTACGAGAAATTTTCAAGCCAAATTCGTTAAAAATAATTTCATACCAAGAGGTCGGCGCAAAGGCACAATTTAAAATTTTTAAGCAATAACTTGGGGTGAGGTGTTTGAAAGCCTAACAATTAGGAAGACTTTTTTGCGGTTTTTCATCGGTAAGCTTTTGAAACAAATCATTTTATTCGCTACGTAGAACAATAGCACGGTAGTCTTAAGGCGAAAATTTCATTTGATCAAGTGACATGCCCTTCACTTACAATTTTTAGGAAGTAGCTTGAGGTGTTAATAAGCTGGGTTCCAAAGTATAGAGTGAATATAAATTTCTCATTTCATAGGCCCACTTTCGAACCAGATTATGATGAATGGTATGCAACGTAGATTCATTTGTAGAATTCATTCACTTTTTTTTCTCAATCGGCGTTAGGAAAATACCTGTAGTTTTATTGCCCTATTTTTGTCTTTTTTATCTTTCTATAGAAACACAGTATGTATTATAAAAATAAAAATATTTTTTTTTTTTTTTTTTTTTTTTTTTAATAACAAAGTGTTATGGAAACTTTTGCAGTTTCTTTCTTAGTTTAGTTAAGCCTAAATCGTAACAGCTTAAAATAAATAAGAAAACTTGTGGTGTTTGCAAGACCTTGAAGCGAATTAGAAACAACGAACTTCTTGTGCAATTAACCATTTAAGCGAAAACATGTAGTAATTAAACGTTAACGACTTTTAAGAATATTTTTGAATAGATTTTCTGTTAATACAACAGCTTTTTGGTTTCTTCTAAGAAATTGCTTAATACTCACATAACATGATGGATTCTGAGCATTGGTAATCATGGTGCCATTGCGTTTGCCTAGTAAGGATTGTTGCAACCGATTTGTACCGTAATACAGCTCCCAAATGCTAGGCTTCTTCCGATGCCAATCCAAAATTGATTGCTTATCGTTTGATTCGGAAGATTCCCCACCGTTATTAAAACTCTGATGTTTTTGTGTGCTGGCGTCGTGCGCGTGTAAATTTCCCAGTATAGGCTGATGAAATGAAAGATTACGTTGTAATTGGACATTTTGATGGTGATGGTGATGGTTTTGATGTTGATGCTGATATTGATGTTGATGATTTGGATTACTTTGATTGGCTTTGATTTCAGTAATGCGACAATCGCTGACTGGAAATACTTCGTTTAAAGATTTACGTTTCATTTTGAAATTTGGATCACTGGCGCAACGTATCGAGGTAATTTGTTGTTGGTGTACACTAATTGGAGGATCTGAAGCTTCGATAAAAATACCACCCGTAACAGCTTCATAAGTAGACGTGTCGCACGATCGTCGTCGTTCGAATGCCTTCTTCATTTTCACTATATTTTGATTTTTCACTAAACCTGTGCATAGCTGACGTATTTCCAATTCATTGTGATGGTTTATCTTCTCTAAATATAGTTCCAATTCATTTTTGAGGGTTTTTATCATCTGAGTTAACTCTTTGGGTAAGCAGTCTTCTCGTGTTAGTTGCGCCGAATATAATTCTTTCTTGGACGTAGGAGAAGAATAAGTTGATTGTCTTCTAGATTGGCCGGCATGCGTTAGGAGACGTATTTTATCTCGAACATCTTCCAATAATTCGCGGGTATTTTCAAAATGTAATTGTTCTTCGTACCGTTTCGGATACGCGACGGCCGTACCGATCACATATGTTGACAAGGATTTTTCTGACACTGAACTACCTGAATGAGCTATTATATCACTTTCCACCCGATACGCATCCTCAGGACAAGAATTTATATATTTGGCACATTTTAAATGATTCGCCTCTTGTTCATCGCTTAGAAAACTCGGATTGTCCAGACTGTCGTTAGCAGCCGTAACCGCCGATTTTGAAACATTTGAATTTATCTTAGTTTGTTTCGCTTTGCCATCGTTATCCGGAAGAAAAGAGTCTAGATCAATATCTAATAAAGAGTCATCGCTGTTTTGTTCGTGACCAAGTTTCCAATTATGATTGGACAAAGAGTTACGCTTTGGCAAAATATTTGGTGTTAAATCGTATCCCTCTCTAATCGTTGGCAGATAGCTATACGATCTCAGCCTCTCAGGCGGGTAGAGCGACGAATACGTTGGCGGTTTTAATTGTTCCTGAGCCTGTAGTTGAGGAAAAGTTTTCAAGTGACGATCTAAATTTTCAATACTAGTTTCCAAACATCGCAAATTTTCACTAAAATCTGGTTTTATATATTTCGTAGTTATCTTCTTCGCTGTCGTAGTTGTTGTTGTTGCTGTTTTCTCTGGCAAAACCATTTCACATTGCTTACGATTATTATGTTTGGTTTTATTAGCCTCATGCTGCTCATTTTCCTCGCACAAATATCCGGTACATCTGTTTTGATGAAGCGTATGCTTAACACTACTCTCTAGTGTGTGCGATATCTTTTCATTTAGCGTTTGTTTGCACGCCACCTGGGCGTTATGGTCGGAAATCGCTGATGGTGATGCAGCCATATTTTTCTTATTTTCGTTATTTCGTACATGTTTACTGACTGTTGGATGATGATGTTGCGGCCTCAAATCCAAAATATCTAAATGAGGTTCGCTGTAGATGTGCTCTTCCAAAGAGTATGTTGAGCAAACGTTTGAGCTGTAGTAGCCTGAAGAGCCACCACTTTTGTCAGTTGAATAATGTGATTGGTGTGATAAGGTTCGTTTACTAATATTTAAGTCGCTTAAGATTGTGGGCGAATTCTCCAACGCAACACTACGATTGCTTTGGCTGTTACTAATATCACTGGCCGTTGGAGTTACATGTGCAGTTAATTCTTGGTGATTTTGAGGACTACTAACCTTAATGTTTTGATCGGATATTGAAATCCCAAGCTGGCCGTTATTATTATCGTTGACGATGACGTTGGTATGCGAAGAGTTTCGTGATAAGTTTTTCTTGTACTTTGTGCAATCGGTGTTATTTTTCAAACCGCTAAGACTGTTATTTAACGATGGCGTTAATGACGTGGTGGCCACTGTTGTCACTGTTGTTGCATTTGCTGTGAAACCAGTATTTATATCATGGCTATTTGCGTGTTGGTTAAAAGCAGCCAATCTTGTTTTATTGCCGGTAATACTATCAGTACTATTTATTGCCATAGCGGTCATCATCGCATTAATGTTACTGTTGCTGCTACTACAACGACTGTGGCTACTCGAATTGTTATCTAGCTTTCCATTAGAGTCGCCGCTTAATCGCGTGGACGAGGAGCAAGCGGTGTTGCAGCTGCAAACTGTGCCAACTGGTGTTGCTGTGACTGTTGCCGCCGCCAATGGCATTGAATTTGAGATGCCCACACTGAAATGAAAAATGAAAATAGAGAGAAAAAAAAAGTAGAAGTAGAAATAACAACTTTGTTGAATTAAAAGGGAAAATGTATTACAAATTTTTGGGGTAGACGAGTTTTTCATGAATATATATATATATATATAAAGCAGATTGAGAAATTGAGCAAGTGATTGATTATTAGTAACAAAAGAAAAAAGAGATTATTGAAAATATTTTTCTTCATTTTCTTACCATTTAATAAGTTTTAGATTAATTAGTTTTGAATTATTTATCTAGAAAGACAAAATTTTGGAAATTTATTGGTTATGACTACGAAGGCATGTAACGAAGCGTCTTTCACCATTTAAAACACAATTATGTGTGCGATGACTTTCGATAAGTAAAAGTTAGGAGCGTTAGAGATTTGATAAATAAATGATGATAATGCGTGCTCATGATTTTTTTTGGACCTAAAACATTCTAAGTAATGGGGATCATTTTCATATGTTTGGGTATGTAAACAAGTGAAGCCGCCGCATCCTAGTTTCTGAAGACGCCAGAAAAATAGACGAATAGTCTGGCCAACCACACCGAGTGACAGCTTGGTAGATTTTTTGAATTGGTTGTATAGATGGACATTACTTTTGCAGACTCGAGCTTTACAGCGAATGGACGCGTTCAACGAAAAATGTTAACTAATGAGGACATTTGTTTTTAGCAAGAAAGCGACAGCTCGTAAAGGCAAAGTTTTTTTAAGTGAAAAATATAAAATGTCAACACCTTTTGAATGGCAGGCAGAGGACACGTTATGTTTGTTTGGCAATTTTTTACCAAGTTCACACTTCTATCTGGCAGAAGGCGATTCCTTGTCTGGTAAATTGGTTTTATGGTTTGACTAAGCTTCTTGTCTGAGCTATTCTTACAAGCCAACGCTGTGACTAATGTTTTTGCACCCGTCAGTGTAAGATGGAGGTATAGTCATTTTGCTTTTTCCCACAATATATATAATAGGCAAAAGGAAGCTTCACCCTATAAAGTGTATACATTCTTGATCAACGTGAAATTCTGAATTGTCTGCTCGTTTGTGTGTTTGCGTGGTGATTATTGTTGGCACTCTCCTGGTCGCAAAAATGAAGATATCGATTTCAAATTTGGTTGGCATAGAAAATGGGCGGAATTGGTCAAAGGAGAAGCGCGCAGTGGAGCGTAATAAGCTAAACGCAACTTGCTTTTTTTAATAACAAGTTTTGGATTTTCCTGGTTGAACTTTTCCAAGTTTACTTTACGAAGCACTGTACGCTTTGCGGGCAAAAATGGAAACAATCGGCTATGCTCACACAAGGTTACAAGTAACTAAATTTTATCTTTTTCAGTTTTTTTAGGGATTTATACCCAATTATGATAAGGCAAACAAGACAGAACGTTTAAGACTTTTCTGTCCGTTCCCCAAATGAAGGTATATTATCTGCTTAAAAATGGGTTAATTCTAAAGTGAATGAGGTGGACACAGCCATGTGGTGGATTCATTCTTTTTTCGTAATACCAGCGATATGTGTATCAAATAAAAGAACTTGAAGAGTAGAATGCGAAAAGCTAAGCGTCTTAGTCCTAAATTCCTTATGGTAGATGTCCCGACAAGGTGAATGCGAGAGGTAACTTTCCTAGTAGTTTAATCTGCTAATTGGAGGAATGCATCATCTTTCTATATGATATTTACGCCGAAGTATGGAGCTACATCCGCTATAGTTTCAAAGCAATAATGTTTTAGGATTTTCACCAGTTTAAAAACGATTATGGCAACTCTCTTCAGTCGAAAAAAAAATGTTGGTTATTTCCTCAGCGAAGCTGGAAGTGGCGGTTATAGTAGAAAATCCCCAAAAAAAAGTTAAAAATCTTTTTCGATACTAAAAAAATTGGGTTTTCAAGAGACAGCTGAAATGCTAATGATAGTAAAGAGTACTGCGTTTACTCACATTTGAGGACGTTCTTCGGGTCAGACCACTTTCTCAACCACTTCCCATATAACACCCTATATGGAAAAATTTCAATTTTTAAAATTTCGCGACAAAACTGGCTAAGTATTTGCGCATTCTAAATTAGTAAGAAAACTTTGGACCGGCATAGTAATTGAAAATAAAAAAATTCACTGCACCAAATTGCGACGATAAACGCCTATTTGTGGATCTTGTCCTACATAAGGATTTTTACGAAAATTGCCGATTTTCAGGGCAGAAAAGTTTAAGTTTTAATATGTTAGGATGAAAGTTGATCGATAATAGTAATTTGCTATAAAAATTAGCTCAAAAGACTTTGGACGACGTACATCTATTTTTAGATTCTACTATATATAGGGATTTGCACCAAATTTTTTTGTTTAGGGCAGAAAAATTTTTTTTAAAATATTTTATGATAAAAATTGACCCATAATTGTAGTTTGATATAAAAAATAGCCCAGTCTATAACTTTTCCACTTGTATTTTCATAAAGAGAGCTCTCTATTTTTGCCTACAAGGACCTATCCATCCATGAAATTTTGCTTTGAAGTGTGGCATAAATTTTGATATGTGAAGGATGGTTTCAGACAAAACCTTTATTAATCAAAATGTTATCTTTGAGAAATTTTGTTAAAATTCAATTTTCTTGTCATGGTGCATAGCCTGTAAGTGGCCTATGCAAACAAAGTATATGTATGTGCTTGCGTAGTCTCCACTTATTTTTTGAAGCCGCGAGCAAGTTTCTCGGATTCAATGTCAAAATCATATTAACTTTATAACTTCTAGTTATCTTTATAAATAATAAAATTTATAATGAAATTTTATACAAATAAAATATCAAACGAAATGTCAAACGGAATGTTAAAATAATGCTATAAGTGCGTAAAGTTTAAGCTAAATTTAATTAAATGAAGCTATTTAAATATGTTAACTGCGTTTACATTTTTAAGATAATCAGTTTTACGCTGGGCCTGTTCTGTTCTTCTAATGCGGGTCATTGGTGAAAAAAGTGTAATTTTAAAATGCAATTTTAATCACATAGCTCTACTGTGTAATTATTCGTGTAATTTTTCTGATCGATTTAAATTGTCTAGCGGTCAGGTGTACTAAGGTAAGGAACGAGTAGTAATATAGTAGAGAGAGAGAGAAAAAGAAAGAAAGGAAGAGAGAGAGAGAGAGAGAGAGAGAGAGAGAGAGAGAGAGAGAGAGAGAG